CCGAGGTGTGGCACATCTAGGCCAAGTGTTGTCCTTCCTAGCTGGGATCATTGATACCTTACCTGTCAGAGCCGATGATGTCACCGATGTCATTATCTTGCCAGAATGCCCATGCCGTTTTACTTGTCGAACACCTTTTCGCCATGCTTTTGTCTGGTCTGTCAGCCACTTTTAAGGGAACCCAACCGATCGCTGCCACATGCCCCAGCAGAAGGTTAAGCCTAGAACCAGACATGAGAACCTATCATTTTGTATCATATCTTTGCCTTTTAGAGAGAGAAGCTCTAGGAGGAATAAGAAGTTTTAGAGTGAGAGAGTAGATCTTCGAGCTTGATTCCTAGAGATTAAACCGTTAGATTCGTGTATTGAGGTATCTAGGAAGCACCAAGATGTATCAAGATGTGAAGCGGACCTTTTGGTGGCCAAATATGAAAAGAGAAATAGCCGAGTTTGTATTCCAGTGTCTATGTTACCAGCAAGTGAAAGTAGAACACCAGAGACCAGCAGGACTACTTCAACCCTTGTCAATTCCTGATTGGAAATGGGAACACATCTCTATGGATTTTGTGGTTGGTTTGCCGAGGATGCAAAAAGGTATGAACTCAATTTGGGTTATAGTTGACAGATTAACTAAGTCTGCACACTTTTTGCTTGTCAAGACTACATTCAATGTCGACTGACTTGCTGAATTGTATATGAATGATATCGTTAGGCTTCATGGTGTGCCGATGTCCATTGTGTTAGACCGAGATCCTAAGTTCGTTTCTAGATTTTGGCAGAGTCTGCAAAGAGCCTTAGGGACCGAGTTGAGGTTTAGCACAACTTTTCACCCCCAGACCGACGGGCAAACGGAAAGAACGATTCAGACACTTGAAGATATGCTCAGATTGTGTGTATTGGATTTCAAGGGAAGTTGGGAATTGCATTTGCCATTAATGGAATTCGCATACAGCAACAATTACCAAGCCAGCATTGGCATGGCGCCGTATGAAGCTTTGTATGAAAGAGAGTGCAGATCGCCGATATGTTGGACCGAGGTAGGAGACAAAGCTTGAATTGGCCCCGAGTTAGTTTAAATAACAACTGAAAAGATTAAGCTCATTCAGCAGAGGATTAAAACCGCACAGAGTCGACATAAGAGTTATGCCGACCAGAGGAGAAGGGAGTTAGAATTTGAAGTTGGGGATCATGTATTTTTGAAGATCTCGCCGATGACAGGAGTTTCAAGATTTGGTAAGAAGGGTAAATTAGCACCCCGATATATTGTGCCATTTGAAATTCTCGAGAGAGTCAACCCCGTCGCCTACAGACTTGCTCTGCCGCCAGAATTAAGCCAAGTCCACAACGTGTTTCATGTTTTGATGTTGAGGAGGTATATCCGGGACCCACTGCATGTAATTGATTATTCTGAGGTTGTAGTTAATGAAGATCTAGGCTACGAGGAGAAGCTGATGAGAGTTATCGACAGACAAATGAGACAGTTGAGAAACAAGTCGATACCGATGGTAAAGATTGAATGGGAGGAGCATTATGGCAAGGAGGCTACGTGGGAAAAGGAAGAGGAAATGAAAATCCGTTATCCAAAGTTATTTGTAGAGCAAGGTAACTTAAGTTTGGGGACCAAACTTCTCTAAGGAGGGTAGACTGTAGTGACCCTCATTCCCCCGCCTTAACCTTGTGCATGAGCATCTGTATAATCTTGTTTTGCTAAGCTTTCATCACTGAATTCTGACTTGTTTTACCTAGAATAAGATTCTTGTCTTGGTTTGTACTTATGTGAATTTGCCTGTTAATCTTGTTCCTTTCCTAGTACGTCTAGCCGAGGTCACCTTGAGCCTAGAACCACCTTGGAACCACTTTGGTTGACCTCTACCTTCGTCCTGGCATATTGGCCGAGATGTCATTATCTAGGTCGAGGTGTGTATCACCAAGGCCGAGATGTGTATCATCTAGGCCGAGATGTTATCCTTGAACCCAAGTGATCTTGTTCTTGGATTGGTACGACCTAGACCAAGGTGTGGCACATCTAGGCCGAGGTGTGGCATAGCTTGGCCAACTGTTGTCCTTCCTAGCTGGGATCATTGATACCTTACCTGTTAGAGCCGATGATGTCACCGATGTCATTATCTTGCTAGAATGCCCATGCCGCTTTACTTGTCGAACACCCTTTTGCCATGCTTTTGTCTGGTCTGTCAGCCACTTTTGTATCATATCGAGAACCCAACCGATCGCTACCACGTGCCCCAGCAGAAGGTTGAGCCTAGAACCAGACGAGAGAACCTATCATTTTGTATCATATCTTTGCCTTTTAGAGAGAGAAGCTCTAGGAGGAAGAAGAAGTTTTAGAGTGAGAGAGTAGATCTTCGAGCTTGATTCCTAGAGATCAAACCATATCATTTGTCATAATCTTTGCCTTTGAAGAGAGCGAAGCTCTTGGAAAGAGGAAGAAGTTTTTAAAGGGAGAGAGCTAGAGTCCAAGCTTGATCTTCACACCTTGAACCGTTAGATCCGTGTTTTGAGGTTAGATTCTTGATCTACTCTTGTTATTCTTTATGTTGATCCAATCACATTGCATGATCTAGCATGATTCATGAGCCATGCATTGATTTAAAGTTTGTTTTAGAAAGAGAAATTGATATTCATGTGTTCTTGAAGAAAACCATGTTTTGATCCGAAAGTTTGTATCAAGATGCATGTTTATCATGTTTGTTTTCATAAGATCTTCAAGTATGGGTACCAAGGTCCATGTTTTCGAACTCATAGCACAAAATCTCAGATTTTGTAATAACAAGTTATGATTTAAGCATGCATGTTCTTCATCTTCTCCATCTTCGTGTTCTTCATGTTCCTCAAAGGGAAATCCAGATTTTCCCGACTTCGCTTTTGAATGTGGCCGTCGGGACCACACCTCGGCGAGAAGGTGTGGGACGTCGGCCAAGACCTAGTTAGTACCCAGCATGTCTTCTTGACCTGTAAAATAGTGTTTTAACCCCAGCATGTTTTCCCGAGATCATCTGCATGCATGTAGGACTTGTTTTAAGAAGTGCATTCAGTAGACTTTGCCATGTGTTTGTAGGCCTTGGATCCTCGCTTGAAACCTCCACACTCGAGGAACTATGTGAGTGGTATTTTTTATAAAGCTATGTTATCATGTTTTGATAAAGCTTTGCTTTGCCTTGTTTTGAAAAGTATTTGATCAAGCATGAATGATTATCCCTATTTTGTATATCAAGTATTATCTTGTTTTGATGACATTCTTGGAAAAGTCCTTAGTGCCAGGGGACTATAATGCAACTACACCCTTGTCTTGAAAGTCCATAGTGCCAGGGGACTATAATGCAACTGCACCCTTGTTTTGCCACCGACAGTCTATGAACGGGTGGGTTTGTTTGTCCGGATTGTCATCATTTGGTATTACGTAGATGTTATTAACATCCAAGGAACTTGAAAGGTTTGACAGATGAACTTGATTCATCCCTTGACTTGTAAAGTTAAGATATGTATTGTTTTCGAAAAGATCTCGGATATCAATCATGCAAAACCTTTATTTCTAATATCATTCACTGAGTATCCAAGCTCACCCTCTCCTTATATATATGTAGGTAACAAGCATGATGGCGGTGACGCCGAGATGTGTTATTTGCAAGATGATGTTTGATCCATGTCATGTCGGCAATCTTGAAGATTATGCATCTTAGTTGTATTTCATATATTTTGTATATGTTGGCTTGAGAAGCCTTTTAGTCAAGATGTAATATGTATTTTATTTTGCTTATAATCAAGTTGTAAAGCTATGTAAAGATGTGTGCCATTTCATTTGACTTATGCACAGCTCTTATGGACTAATTAGATTTGTATATATTGCTTCTGCACATGTTAGCCCCATATGTAATACTCTGATTGTGTGTACATTTTGAAAGTTGGCCTTCGGTAATCTCGGATTACTGGCCATCACGGCACCATTCTACTAGGGGCGGAATGGGGTCGTGACAACTGGAAGCTCTGGATCACTTCTTTTTCACTCCTGCTCCCAGCGGTCGCTCCCAACGGGCCAGCCCCTCCAGACCCCTCTCTTGCCAAGTTGCTGGCGATCATAGCATCAATGGCCATCTGGAAGTCGGCGGACCCCTTGAACTGCTCAACCGCTACAACACATAGGTCAGGGTACGTCGCCCTCTCAGATGCCAATTTCGTCCTTTCTTCCTCTAAGGCCTTCTCTAGCCCCGCCTTCTCTGCCGCTGCCTTAGCGTGCTCATCTGCCAGATCTTTCTCCAACCCAGCGATCTTTAAATCTATTTCTTCATTTTCTTTGATCGACTGGGCGCGCAGATCCTCGTTACAGGTCATCGCCTCATCCCACCGTTCGTTGGCGACGGTGCAGGCCTTCTGCGCCTCTTCCAACTTTTTCTGCTCGCCGACCAGTTGGAATTCGAGCGATGCCACCTTGCGGCGTTCTGTCTCCAACTCCAACTTGGTCGCGAGCAGCTCAGCATGGGCACAGTCAGCAACATTCCTCTGCACCGTCGCCAACACCTCCATTTTCTTCGCCTTCTGGGTCTCTTTCAGCCCCCTAGCACACGCACTCCGCGTGCTCTTCCTCCATCTTGCAGTCTCCACCCTCAAATTTTCAAGTTGGGCCTTCACCTCCTCCAGCTTCGTCCTCAACGGCTCAGTTTCGCCCTTTGCATACGCTGTTTTCCTCAGTAAGGCTCTTGCTAAGGTCGTTGCCTCCATCTGGGCAGAACACAACCCCCTTAGCAGTTCGGCCTCAGTGAAACTGGCCATTGAGCGCACGACTGCCTCTTCCACTACCCCCAAAAGGCGATCTGCGGCTGTCCTGGCTGGGCCTCCTTCTCCCTCCAGTCACCTAGACACTGCTGGAGCATGGTAGATGGTAGTCTTCAGCTTGGCCCCCTCCTCAGGGCCAGCTGACCCACTTTCCACTTGCATCTTGGGCCCATGGTACTCATGTGCTCTTCTTCCTCTTGGGCCCCTTGACCTTTGTCCCTCTACGCCTCTGGGATAACCACCACTTCTGGAGTAGACCCCATCCCCCTCTCCTCTGCCTTCTCCGCCATGGGGGTGTCCTCCCCACCAACCCTCATCTTCTTCGAACCGGGCACATCTGTAGTCCCCTCAGTGGCAACATTCTTCTTCTTCGACCTCTTCAGTCCCACCATCTCTCGTCAGCCCCTCTCCTTCAGGGGGTCTATGGGTTGTGGCAATGGGGCAAACTCACTCAGGTTCTTATCACCCAAAGGCTTAGGGCGAGGTCGAATCCGCTCCCTCATTACCACCTTTGGAGCAGGACCCAAATTTGCCTCTTTATACTTGTCCGCTCGGGCGAACAATCTCCTCTCCTCCTCTTCCTCCACCTTCCTCTGCGCCTCTAGCTCCTCCTTTGCTGGGTCCTCCCCCAACGGTTGCGGTCCCAATTTCAGGGCGAATAACGTTGAAGGCAGGACCAGCTCATCCCATCTCACCCCTTTCTCTTCCCTCCATTCCCTCACTTTCTTCACTCGATCTTCGGCCTCCCCGCCCAACTTAGGCTCGACTGATTTGGTGGGGACCTTCCACGTTGTGTGAACCCCAGCTCCACCATTCGCCGTAACAAAGAACCATCTCGGCCTCCACCCCTTCACCGAAGATGGAAGACCTGCCACCAGCTCTCGCCCTGCCACTGCTTACAGAGTTACCCAGGTCTCCTGCTGATCGGAGGCCTTGTAGAAAGAGAAGAACTCATCTACAGACATTGTCGTCCCCCACATCGCTTGCAGCCAGGAACTCACGCACGCCATTGCTATCTTCCAAGCGTTTGACATCAGTTGCCCTGGCACCGCTTCTAACTTGTTTAGCACACCCACCACTACTTGGGGGAGAGGTAGCCTCAAACCCCTCGCAACGCTTCCTCGTACAAGCTGAATTCGCCAAGCCGCACATCTGATGCCCTTTCCTTGGATGCGGGCAATCTTAGCCCTATCTCCGAGAGAA